ATAAACACATAAAAGATCGAACACAAATCCAAAAGAAAAAAAAGAAAAAACAAAGAAAGAAAGAAATTTCAACTGTACATTTATCGTTTGAAGTAGAACATTCACGATCGCTTTGGGGAAAAGAATAGGAAATCACCGGTTCGTTTGCTCGTTTTCAGATCGATCGAGCGTGAATTTTATCATCTTCGTGGAGCTCGTGAAGCGTGAATAAACGCGTGATAATCGTGTAGACCGATAACGGTATCGCGAATGAAACCGTCAGTCGCATAATTGCTCGGGAAGGTGGCCGAGATAAAGCTCGGCTCGTTAAGAAACGAGCAGGTAGCGCGACCATTGTCAGACGAACCGTGATTTACGATCGTGTAAGAGCGTTTGGACAATTCGCAAGGGAACACGACGCATGTCTTCTCTCTAACAACGATTGCCGATCACGATATCGTCATACAACGACATCCAACGATACGCAATATTTTTACGTGTGAAAATTTTATTTTCATACACGCTAAGATGATTGAAGCATTCAGATTTCCCATCAGAGACAAACGAAAGGAAGGAAGGACGAAAAATGTAATACTTTTCTACATTCAAGAATGCATTAAATCTGGAATTATTAATTGGTCATCAACGATCGAAGCGTCAAAGTTTCCATTTTCCAGAGGAATTAAGGTAAAAAAGAAGAAAGAAAGATAGACATTAACAATAACTAGAGTGCACTTTGTGACACTTCTCTACATATTTTACATATCACTTTGCAATCGTTGAAGAATGCATTGTTCTACATCCATCTGAAATCATAAATTGGTCATTTCGACCATTTTGGTGGTAGTGTCAGCCGATTTTGCATCACTAGAAATCTAGTTAATTCTAGAAAACGAGTGAAGGACGATAAATGGAATAAAATCTTTCTCGTAAAATCGGGCTTCGAAAATTTCATCAAGTGTATACGTGTACCGAGGCAAAGAAAAAAAAAAAAGAAACACATTCACAAAGCCCATTTTTCTGAAAGACGACTTGTGAATGATGAAAAGATTTTATTCCACGCTTTTTTCATTTATTTTTAACGCTAACGTGTCGATTATCCAGTATTAATTATATTAAATATTCTTACTAATTGTAAGTAATCTTCTGAAATTCTTTTCTTCGTTTCCAAGTCGTTGTTACATATTTCACTCTAGGCACATGTTCAGATATTATAATACTATAATATCATACAACATCAAGTGTGTATGTTCGTTGTAATT